TTTCTATAACATTCCATTGGTCACCAGACCAACCCTGGTGAAATGTGGCAGGGAACTCCCCAAAGATGTGAATATCACAGTGATACTCAATGGGAGGCATCTTAGATACGGGCTGTGAAACCTACTCAGTGCTAAAGTGGCAGAACTAGATAATGAACCCAGGCAGTTTGACCTCAGTGCTTGGGCTCTTTAGCATGATGTGGAGAATAACTACAGAACACATATTTGTGAATGTTCACACTTTTCCTAAAGAGGACTTTGGTGGACTTTTGGTGGACTTTTTCATGTATATTCCATGAAAAGTGTTTGCCAATGGACGCCTGAAAATGTGAAGGAGATGAAAAAAATATTTATCAAGGGCCATAGGCACTAAATTTCCAAATAGTCCAGCTGATATATCGGTCATTGCAGAAAAGACGTGGTAAGGAGAGGCAGAATGAGAAATCATTTCACATAAATTCTTTTCAATTCGAAATATTATCTTTACTCTTATTTTTCTGCCTCTCTGCTTCAACACCTCTCTCAACTATGTCAAGTACCATGTTGAAAAATACCTACAGAGGGCTTTATTTATTAAAATTGTAGCTTAAAAAAATCTCTACTTTAGATTTCCTATAGGTTGTGTTTATTGCTAACATTTTTAAGAATGTTGTAAAAGCTTTCAGATATGAGTATGCCCTGTTCAGAGAGCTAAGTAATTTGGTGAGGAAATTTCAATTTGAAAAATCTTTGTGCATCAGTGTGAGATATAAATTCACTTGTCAGCAAGCTGTGTCAGAGCAGATTTCTTGTCATCTTTGGCCACAGAGCAGAGATTTATTGAAAATTCTTGATGATATCGCTCTCCGAGTTGTTTTACATAAACATAGTGCAGCGAATGCTTTGAACTATAGTGTGAATAAGAGAGAGAGAGAGAGAGAGAGACAGAAGCAGAGACAGAGAATGTGTGTGTGGATGTGGATGTGTGTTTCTGGCTTTTAAAACTGACACGTAGCAGAAAAATACTAAAAAGCATTTCAATACATTGTGTTGTATCCAACTTACTTTAGAATGATCATTTCTGCAACAACTGTGTTATAAGTAGGTGTAGACTTCTGTGCCCTTTTAGAAATGAATCATGAATCAAAATACTTCAGAACCAAAGCTTTGGAATACAGACTATTCTATGTCAGGGAATAGAACTATGGGAATTGCTGAAATGCAGAAACATACAATAGGTGTATTATTTTTTAAAGAATTATTATTTGCAAACCATTTGTACCCAGGTCAGTAGTGAAAATGCAAAACTCTTAGAAAGGAAAATTTCTTTCTTCAATAATGAAAGACTTGGAACTGCAATATAAATTTAATCTCTTGGGTTCTCCAGCTCTCTGATTTTATATTCTGTGGCTTGCCAAATTATTTTTTGTTTCTCCATTCAAATTTATTCAGCTCCAACCAAGAGATATGTATGAAATTCTTTTTCTAAGTGTATTATAAGATATTGGTTAAGTTCAAATAATAATATTGATAAGGAAATGTGCACAATTTGTGGAGTGGGTACCTTCTATGTATCTAAGCGAAACTATCATTGTCACATTTATTTATGGGTAAAAATTGTCAACACAGGGATAGCTTTACAACCTGGCAATCTATATTAATGACTATGCAGTGATCCCATTTGATCAGTAAGATAGATGATATCATTAAATTGACTACCTGGAAGACTAAGAGTTTAAGTTTTCTGAAAATAGACATTATATTATTGTATGGTTCTTATTTACAAATATATTCAAGTCTATTATCACTACCATTATTATTATAGTAACTATAAACCGTAAGAAACTAAATAATACATCAAACCACTTAAAAAGTCTCCAGTGGGTTGAAACGACAGATTTTTAAATATTATTTCTAGAAAATCCTTCTTATTAACTCACTTGAAAAGTAAGAAGTATCTCTATCAATATAGTGTGAGAGACACAAAGATTACAAAATTATAACCTCTTTTCTTTAAGGAATTTATGGTCATTTTAGCTGATATCTGGCTTGAATCTCTGATTCTTTTTACCATTTTCTCTGTCATTTTTTTTTCTTTTTCTTCTTTTCGAGTCTGTTCATGTGTTTGTATATCCCAATTTACTCTTTCTAAAGTATCTTTATAAGACATTGCGCTGTAAACCACTTATTCTCAAATTTTCATTCAGTTCGTCCCAAAACTAATTTGAACACTTTGTATCACCTGAAACATTCTGAATTTAACGTTTAAAAGAGTTTGTTATAAATATCTGTGAAAAATGTACTTTTTTCATATACCACTCTCTTAAATAAATTCAAATGTATAAAAATTATATCAGTTTGATATCCACCACCATCCATTTACAAAATATGTGAGGAAGCCTCTCTTTCACTGACAAAAATTTACACTTGTTTCCCCTTGAACTAGTACCTGCGATTTAATTTCCCTACAGAATAATATACAAATGCCATGTATCTTTATGTCTTTTATTGATCATCTATCTCATTTCTTTGCAACATAATATTTCTGTAAACTGAAATTATATGTTATTTTATAGACGTATGTGAGCATAAGTTTTCAACTGCTGGGTTTTTTTCTTCTGGATTGAGTTAACACTACAATTAGTATTTCTGTACAATTGTGTGTAAAGAAAGATTTTATTAGAATTCTATCGCTTAATGACATGAATGAGGCTTTTTCCATACACTCACTGCATACATCTGTGGATTAATGTTACTTTTTGCATAAACTCTATTCCAATATTTTTTTAATTTATCTAAACACTACGAAACTTTGTTTGCATTTATGTGTGGGTGACTGTTACAATGAGATTTTATAGCAGTCACTCAATGATTTGAACTTTCAAATTATATGTCAGAATCCCATACTTTTAATTCTCACCTGAAGTTATTTTTTGTAATGTTTCAAGTAACAACTAGATATTGTCCTCCACTTATACAGCAAGTATAAATTTTAGAAACTGCCTGACTTTCAAAAGTATTTGTTACTCATTCAAGTTACTTACTTCATCATTTTTAAGAGATGCACCTATAAAAAGCTTTACCAAGTCTTACAGAGTAATTATAAAATACATCTGCAAACTTTTTTCTCTAGGAGGTACTTTGCATAATACAATATATTAAGACAGGATTTGAAGCATTGAAATATCACTTATACCATTACAATATAATTCTTTGAAAAATGTTTTTATTTAAATCTATACAGTTTTTAATTCAATTTGTGGAAAACACCCATCACTTCACCTACTTAAAAGAATTAGTCTTATTGTGAAACCAATTTTTTTTTTATTTTTCAATTCAAATAAGACTGTTAATATGCATTTCAAAGAGCATTATAAATACACTGAGAAATAAATTCCAGAATGTAATTTTAAAAGCTATTTTACTGGCGCTTGTGGCGTGCGACAGGTCATTGTTACCAACAACTGAAATAGAACAGATTCACGGTCCGTCATGGAGTTTAACCCCTGCAGGTGCCGCTCTGGGCTTGATGGCTCGAGCCTGGAGCCTTTCATTCTTGTGTCTCCCCTCTTCTGCTGCCCCCTCCTCCCCCGTTCATGCTCTGTCTCTCTCTGTCCCAAATAAATAAACGTTGAAAAAAAAATTAAAAAAAAAAAAATAAAAGCTATTTTACTAGAAGCAGCCCTTTTGATTTAAAATTGTGTATGTTTAATATAATTAATCTGAATTTTAGGTTAAAAAATATGCTTTAAATCTACATGTTGTTTGTAACTAACTTAAAATAATACAGAGTAATCTGTATCAATGATTATGAAGTTACTTATGTAAGAGGAATATGATAAAGAGAAAGCTTTTTCTTTGGTAAATATGTATGCACATGCATGTTGAACTCCAGGATTGGCATTAGGGTGTAATTAAATAAAAGTAATGCATATAATAGAAACAACTTGAGTAATGTAATGGACAAAAATATACTGCTGAAGATCATTCCAGGAGCTAGCTTAAAATTTTATTTTTTATTAAAAAGAGGTAGGAAATACTAAACGTTTTCTAAGATAATGTAAGATGAAGATTGACTACAATTAGAATAAATATTTTATAATGTGATATAATTTAATAGGTATTGAATAATGGAATTGAATAATGCTTAATACACCTAGGAAATATTGTGCAAGATATTGATCTGTGGGTTTAAGCCAGTATAAGTAAAAAATGTTTGGTGTTCCCAGACAACATTTAGTTATATTTAAATTAATGTGTCATTACGCTGTACCGTTTTGCTATTTGAAGACATTTTCTATTTAAATAAAAATCCTAAGTATGATTATGAGATTATACCTATCAATACCTGATCATCTCTCAAGAGCATTACATCTTTCACAGAATTAACATAAAATTCCTATTTCCTTAGCCCACTTTACCCAATATATTCAGTTTCTGAACCGAACATTTCTTGGGTTCTTGCTTAGGAGAAAATAAAAGGCAAAACAAACAAACAAACAAACAAACAAACAAAAAACCCACCAGGAAGCCTTAATGTGCTTTTATAGTAACTTGATTCATTGTTTCTTTCTTTGAAACCATAGGAAATTTTGGGGGCGCCTGGGTGGCTCAGTCAGTTGAGCATCTGATTACTGATTTCAGCTCAGGTTATGATCTCGTAGTCATGAGATCTTGCCCCGAGTCAGGCTCTATGCTAAGTGCGGAGCCTGCTTGAGATTCTTTCTCCCTCTACCTCTGCCGCTCCCCTGTTCCCTCACTCTCTGAAAAAAAAAAAAAAAAAATTAACTGATACCGTGGGAAGTTTGACATCTCAGAGTAATGTTCTATAGTAAGGTGCTGGAGGCGTGAGCTTTTTAAAAGAGAGACTTTGTGGAAAGAGAGGTAAGTAAAGGAACCTATAAGATACTATGAAGAGCATGCATGGATTTGAAGATGGGAAAGTTTAGCCATTTCCTTTCTGCTTTGTAGGTGACAACATAAGATAAATAATAATAAAAACAACATCTTTGTTTTTGCAGCTGTCGTGAGTGCCATCCCTGTGCCAACCCTGGAAAGCGCCCAGTACCCAGGAATCCTTCCATCTCCCACGTGTGGATACCCCCACCCACAGTTCACCCTCCGGCCTGTGCCATTCCCAACATTGTCTGTGGACCGAGGTTTTGGAGCAGGAAAAAGTCAGTGTGATGCATTTTCCTTTCTTTTTATGAAGAACGAATGAATAATAACCAAGGATGTCTTGTTAAATGTATAGCATTCTGACATTATCATCCCTTGGAAAAATTGACTTTCCTCTGCCCTGGGCCAGAATCAGAGCACAGTCAGTCCTTCGGATCCTACCACATGCTTTTAAACTGATTCTCTAGGAGTCTTTCCACAGTACGCTCCGCAGACAATATGGGAAGTTGTGTGGAAACAAAGGTTAACCAGTTCAGTAAAACAATGAAGTGCCAGGTGCTTGAAATTAATACTTGCAGTCAACTAGGAAGTTAATAATCGAGTGACTATATTCCAACATGTTCTTGTGTAAGTGTCTGTTGGATGTATTTAAAGGTGTCTCACTGATTCCTGATGAACCAGTACTTAGATGAATGCTTTAGCTTTCTTTGGTTAAATCGGTTAAGCAATAGCGTTTCATGTTTAAGTAATGATTGTTGGAGAAAAAGATTTCCAGAGTAGTATTTCATTTGTTTTTGTTTGTTTGTTTTTCTGGTTTTAATAAGAAAGAGTTGACATACAACATTGTGTAAATTTAAGGAATACATTGTGTTGATTTGAGATACTTATTTATTGCAAAATGATTACCACCATAAAGTTAGCTAATACCCCCTCATGTCACATAAGAATGGTTCCCTTTTGTAATGAGAATGTTTTAAATCTACTTTCTTGCTTTCAGGTATATAATACAGTATGATTAGTTATAATCACTATGCTGTACATTAGATGCCCAGAACTTAATCATCTTATGACTGGAAGTTTGTACTCTTTGACCAACATCTCTCTTTTTCTCTCTATCCCCCCAGCCCCAGGTAACCACCATTCTAGTCTCTTTTTTTTATGAGTTTGTCTTTTTTAGACTCTACATGTAAGTGATATCATTTAGTATTTGTCTTTCTGTGCCTGATTTATTTCACTTAGGATAATGCCTGCAAGGTCCATCCAGATTGCTGCAAAAAAGTGTGCTTGTTTCTCAAGGCTGAGTAATATTCCATTGTATATAGGCCACATCTTCTTTAACCATTCATCCACTGATGGACACTTAGGTTGTTTCCATATCTTGGCTATTGTGAATAATTCTACAATGAGCATGGGAGTATGTACATCTTTTTGAGATCTTGTTTTCATTTCCTTTGGATATATACCCAGAAGTGAGATTGCTGGATCATATAGTAGTTCTATTTTTAATTTTTTTAGGAACCTTTATACTGTTTTCCATAGTAGCTGCATCAATTACCTTTTCACCAACAGTGCACAAGGGTTCTCTATTCTCCACATCCTTTCCAACAATGATCTCTTGTCTTTTTGACAATAGCCATTGTACCAGGTATGAGGTGATATCTCATTGTGGTTTTGATTTGCATTTCCCTGATGATTAGTAAGGTCACATATTTTGACATATGTGTGAATACACATATATGTGTATTTTCACATATTTGTTGACCATTCACATGTCTTCTTTGGAAAAATGTGTATTCAGTGCTTCTGCTCATTTTAATCTAATTTTTTTCTATTGTATTGCATGAATTTGTTATATATTTCAGACATTAACCCCTTATCAGAAATGTGGTTTGCAAATATTTTCTCCCATCCCATAGGTTGACTTTTCTTTTGTTGATAGTTTTCTTTGCTGTACAGAAGCTTTTTAATTTGATGCAATCTCATCAGTTTATTTTTGCTTTTGTTGCCTTTGCTTTTTGGTGTCAAATCCAAAAAGTCATTGCCAAAATCAATGTCAAGGAGCTCACGCCCTTTGTTTTCTTCTAGGAATTTTACAGTTTTAGGTCTTAAGGTCAAGTGTTTAAAACATTTGAGTTCATTTTTGTGTACAGCATAAGAAATCCAGTTTCATTCTTTTGCATGTGGCAATTCAGTTTTCTCAGTGCCATTTATTGAAGATTATTGCCCCACCATATATCCTTAGCTCTTTGGCATAAATTAATTGACCATATATGCATAGATTTATTTCCAGGCTCTTCATTCTGTTCCATTAATCTGTGTGCCCGTTTTTATGCCTGTACCATACTATTTGACTATCATATCCTTGTAATGTAGTTTGAAATCAGAAAGTGTGATACCTCCACCTTGCTCTTCTTTAACAATATTGTTTTGGGATCTTCTGTAGTTCCATTCACATTTTGGGATTGTTTGTTCTATTTCTATGAAAAATGCCATTGGAATTTTGATAGAATTGCATTGAATCTGAGATCACTTTGGGTAGTACAGAAATTTTTAACAATATTAGTTCTTTCTACCCATGAGCATAGTCATTTCTACCCATGACTATCTTTCCTTTTATTTATGTCTTCTGAAATTTCTTTTGTCAATGTCTTATAGTTTTCAATGTACAGATCTGTAACCTGCGTGGTTAAATTTATTCCTAAGTGCTTTTTTTCTTTTTGATACAACTGTAAATGAGATTGTTTTCTTAATTTCTCTTTCTGATAGCTCATTGTTAGCATATAGAAATGCAACTGATTTTTGTATGTTGATTTTATATCCTAAGGATAGTATTTCATTTGTTTTAAGGAAAGTAGGTATGGAGAGAGATTCTCAATCTATTGTATACACCCTGGTGGTTTCTCCTATACCATTTGACTGTTTTTCTTTTTTTCTTCGAGCACAGCAGTTTAAAATCGATTTTATGGCTTTCTTCCCTTAGTTAGGAACAGGTGACTCAGCAGCTCATGTGAGATAGGATGTTTTGTAATAGATAAGATGGTAACAGCAATAAAATATATTTGTGAGGTAAGCTATATTTTTTCCAACCCAACAGGGACAGCGCTAAGAAATCATAAATCGTCTAGATGTAGCAAGGTTAGAATTAAAAGGCATCAAAAATCTGCCAAGAGAGAATTAGATTTATTTTCCCTTTTCTCACTGCACATCGTGTCTACATAATAGAGTTGTGTGCAAAAACTGAAGGAAAAATAATTCCCCAAACCATATCAAAGGGGATTAAACGAGGAAGATATGGGAAGTCTAGGAAGCAAAAATTTCCAAATCCCAGGACAACTAGGAAAAGAATTCCAGTCAAATAATTCAGAAGCCACAAGGCCCTGCTTCTGCTTCTGAAATGTACTCTCCCCAGAAAGAAAGAGGGGATTATAATTTTAGTCTAGCTTTTCCCTCATCATATCACTGTCTAGTGTTTTCTTTTGATTTCATCTATATTCTCTGACTTTAAAATGAAGCATGAGAAGAATGTGTAAAATGACCTTTATCTCTCCACCATAGCAAGACCAAGACAAGCCAAAGTTCACTTCATTTATTTTTAAGAAGTTAACTATTTTATTTGATTCATGATGTGTTCCTGTAGTTTCTTTTTCTCTTTTAAAGACATAGTTCTTTCTGAGAATTCAGCATCCCATTTATTCTTTGTTTTTCCTCTTGATTTGGTGCAACATGCAAAACTGCCTCATTGAATCACAGGGATAATCATTCCAAAAGTTAAGTGTCAATGAAAGCAAAAATAGTAAATAATCTAGTATAATTTTTCTCCTCTTTCCCCACCAGCCAAAATAAGTTACACGGAGAAATGCAATACCAATGGGATAGAGATACATATATTCCACCCAACATGAACTAGAGAATTCACAGGGAAAGGGAGGGAAGGATGAATTGTGAACAAATAATACAATCTACCACAGATTACTATTCACCAGGAGGACTTGGGTGTGTCACCATTTCTCGTTGTAGAGTCTATGTTTCAGATCATTCCACAGTGTGTGCATTCATTTCTTAGGCTGCCTTGATAAGGGACCATAAACCAGGTGACTTAAAAAGATAGAAATTTATTCTTTCATATTTCCGGAGCTAGAACTCCAAAATCAAGGTGTTGTCAAGGTTATGTTCCCTCCCAAGTCTCTAGGGGTGGATCCATCTTTGCCTCTTCCAGTTTCTGGTAGTCCCAGGTGTCCCTTGGCTTCTGGAACTCCAATATCTGCCTCCCTCACATGGCTGTCTTCCGTCTGCCTGAAGAGATTGTATAGACCCAGACCTCTAAGGGCATGAATATTTGGGGGCCAGAGGGCAGACTTTTATGAATAGAATTGTGTCTCCCAAAAAGATATGTTGCAGTTCTAACCTCCAATACTGTGAATGAGATGTTATTTAGAAATAGGATCTTTTCAGATGTTATCAAGTTAAGGTGAGGTCATGCTGAATTAGGGTGAGTCCTAATCTAATATGGCTTGCATCCTTACAAGAGAAGGGACTCAGACACACAGGGAGAAGATGGCTATGTGACAACAGAGGCAGAGATTGCAGTGATGCATGCCAATCCAAAGAACATTAAGTGAACTACGACGAAATGTGTTTTTATTTGTGCTTAGGGACTACAGATTGGTTTATATCTGTGGTTACAGTCTCATGTACCACTCTAGTGCAGGACTTTGATAGTGGAGCAGGCTGTATATGTGGGGGCAGAGGGCATATTGGAAATCACTGTACCTTTTACTCAGTTTTGCTGTGAACCAAAAATGCTTTTAAAAAATAAAGTCTACTAGATATAAAGGAATGAATGAATGAATGAATGAGTAAATAAATGAATGAAATAAAGAAACATTTAGTCTCTTCAATAATTTTTAAAATTTTATTAATTTATTTAAAGTAAGGATTATTAAATAAGGGTGATTAGATAACTATAATATATAATATAAATATAAAATATATAACTATTATATTAAGTTATATTAAAAAAAGCGGGGCGCCTGGGTGGCGCAGTCGGTTGAGCGTCCGACTTCAGCCAGGCCACGATCTCACGGTCCGTGAGTTCGAGCCCCGCGTCAGGCTCTGGGCTGATGGCTCAGAGCCTGGAGCCTGTTTCCGATTCTGTGTCTCCCTCTCTCTCTGCCCCTCCCCCGTTCATGCTCTGTCTCTCTCTGTCCCAAAAATAAATAAATGTTGGAAAAAAAAAAAAAAAAAAAAGGATTCCTAACAGAGTGCTTAGCATAGTAATTTTTGAACTTGATCTAAAATCAAAAGGCATGGACATACCACTCCTGGCCAAGATTTTACAGGTTTTTAAAATACACATTCAGTCATACATCAAGTGGTTTTTGAGCAAAAGGAATGTGCAGTGCAAAAGGAATAGGAACAGATCTGTGTTTCCAAGTGATTACTTAGAAAAGAAAAAAAATAAGCACCCTCTTTTCTAGGAAACTGAATATTCTCTAAATCACTGTCAGAACCAGTTAACTTCCAGCCATTCAGTATCGGCTTCTAAATGCCTTGGAGAACACTAAACACCCGTGTTCTTTCTCAAGCAGAAAACATTTCATGACTCTGGCTGGAGATGTCTTATTAGTCACCTTGAGAAACAACAAGTCACACATAGGAAAAGAAAAATCTGTGCCAAATGTGGAGACTCTCCTTCCTCCAAAGTTTTCTGAAAGACCTTCGAGTTGCACAAGAAATGAATCACTAAAACTCTGCCCTCAAAGATCTGCTGCTTTCTGAACTCAAAAATAAAGCTGAATTTCTCTCCTACCACAAGGAAAAGAAAAATACAGGATTTAGTACATTTGCATTACACACGTTTGGTGATCCACTGATAAAGATTTATATAGAGTTGTGACAGACAAATATCTCCTCTTCCTACTAATAAATTGTAGTCCTGTTCTTAGCTTCAATAGGCAAACTGTCCCTGGGAAAGAAGAAACAGTGCTATATTTTGAAAACTTCAACCAGTAGATAGTCTTGAGGCCCCATTTCTGCAAGTCACTGTAAAATCGGCGCCACTATTTTCTCATCTTTGAAACAGGTAGATACTAGAGATTAGATGATTTTTTTACCATTCCTTTTAGGTTGTGTATTGTCATTGTTAATGAGAGAGCTTCACCATGTTACCATGTTAACACCTTCACCCATGTTATTTTTCTGTGGCAGCTCTCCCCCAAATTGAAAATCATATAATGGGACTTGACCTAGATAAAATCACAGACACATTGGAGCTAATGACTTTTTCTCTAGGGTCTTTGCAAGAATCCACCCTGTGAGGAAGGAACTGGGGTTACTCAGGAATTTTGCATGATGTTGCTCTGAGATTAATGAGGGAATTGGGTTCCTTAAACATTCGTGTCTCAAAGTCTTTGTGTAGAGTTATTGGTGTGCTACATTTCTTTCAAATATTGCAATTTTAGATAGAAGAAAAATCCTCATTTCCATTTTCGCAGTATTTTTGCCAGATACTCTGTAGCAATTATTTCTGTGTTGACATTAATTATTATAAAGTGCCTTGAAACTTGACTCTACTGTGTACTGTGTAATTGTATGCTATTTGTACAATGCATTCCCACTACTTCATCATTTGAAAACCAGTGCCTTGCCAGCACATATTTGATTCTCCCTTTACTCTCTGAATTGCAAGGTGGCTATACTTTCCTGGGAAAAGAGAGGTTTTCTTTGCTTTCAGAGCTCTTCGCCGATCTACATATCGTATCACTGAGCCGGTTTGTTTCACACAGGTGTCTTGAAGCAGGCGCCTGAACTGGCCAAATGGGTTCATCTGACATGAGGGCTTTTCTCCTATGGAGCCATTGCTATTGCATCAAGAGTTTGGACTGCCTCAAACGTCAACCAGTTCTGAAAGCATTTCTTCTGCTCCACATAAAATAATTATGAATTGTCTATGGAGAATCTGTACCTTGCCCATTGTACTAGGTATTAAGCAAACTTGTCATTTTTGAACAAAACAGAAATAGTCCCTTGTGGATTAGTGATGCATTTCATCTCCCATTTCCACCTAGCACTAGATTAGGCACTTTCCTTTTCATAATGGTTGGTGCTGGAGATTGATTTCCCCAAGATCTTCTCTATCTGTGTGGAGCTCCCACTACTTCCCTCAGATATCTTCCCAGTGCAAATCATGGTGGCCACCTGAAGACCTGGCATGGAGGATGGGGCATGTGGAGAATCTGTAATTTTAGAGATGCCAATGAGCAATGGCACTAAAGAGAATAGGAATGGGAGTGGCCACAGAACATTCCATGATGTCATCAAAATTCCTGTGAAGCCTGAGGATTTTGAGAAACTAAATTTTAGAAGACTAAAAAAGTGCATGCAAGTTTTATTAAACTTAATGTCACAATAATATTTTAACATAGATCTTTTTTTATTTCAAAAATGTAGAAGCAATAGAACAGGAAAATATGAAGGATGGAATAAAGAAGCATATCACACAATATATTATTATTTCTCTAATGGTTAAAGCAGTTTTTAAAATATATGGATTTATTACAATCCATCTTCAATAGAATTACTTAAGGCAGATTTCTAAGGAAAATTATGAAATTTCTTTACCTGGAAGATATGGACCTGTAATAAAAACTAGCCCATTGGTGATGAAGATGGACCCAGGTCTGGGCTCCTACGTCTGCTTCTCTCTGATCTAAAGCTAAGAGATACTATATTTTTATTCAGATATTGACCATTGGTCATTTTCTCCTTTAGATTAAATATGAGTCCAGAGTAAAACAAGCATAATTTTCTTTGTCTCTAAAACTATACTGTCAACCATCTAATTACAGTTTTTAAAGTTTTCATTTATTTCTTTGTTTATTTGTTTGTAATCTCTTTGCCCAACGTGGGACTCAAACTCAGGACCCTGAGATCGAGTCACATACTCTTCCAACTGAGCCAGCCAGGGGTTCCTAAGAATAGGAAGGAAAGAGAAACAGGTGTTCTTGTATTCAATCAAGACTGTGTAATTTGAATACAAGAACACCTGTTTCTCTCTCCTTTATATATATATATTTTTTTAAGATTTTAAGTAATCTCTATATCCAATATAGGACTCAAACTCACAATCCTGAGATCAGGAGTCACATACTCTACTGACTAAACCAGGCAGGCGCCCTTTTCTCCTTTATGTTCCTACAAACAATTTAGCTCCTAATAAACACCTGCCTGAAGGCTCCATCCCTTCTGCCCTTTTGTGAGAATCCACATCACCAAGGATTTGCCTTAATGTTTTCCTTGCAGCCCACCTTTTAATCTTGATATTTTGCATGCATGCACCCCTCCTCTCCATGATAGGACTTCCTAGCTTAAAGAGGAAGCACTTCTCCTCTTACTCCTCTTACCCCCAGAGTTCTCTCCAGTTTGCTGTCTTGATTACATTTTCTTTGAACAAATCTTTTGTCAACTTTGCCTGTTTACTAGCTCTGGTTGCTTTATGGCTACATCCTGTCCTCAGCCAGCCCTATGTCTCCCTGCCTCCATCTTTGAACGGGGTAAGCCTGGAGGCTTCTCAGTGACCCAGAAGACCTCTAACCTTTCTGAATATAGAAAAATGAGTTTTAATATCAAATACCCTCTGAAGGCACATTTCACTTCTGCATATCTTGAATATAATGTCTTGATCTTTGGCATCTTTAATCTCTACTCCCTTCAGCATTATCAAGTTTTCTTTCTAGCTCCTCTGCCCTTTGCTGACCTCACTGAGCCTCCCAGAGAGTTGTCTCAAAATTATCTCGCAAACTAATTATCTTGAAATATTTCCTGGTTAAAAATTCTCTTTCAAAGCGAGATATTATCTCCTATCATTGCATTTTTCCCACTTACCCAATAGAACTTTCTTTAAAAAAAAAAAGTCATCAGAAATACTCTTATTTCATCAACCTTATACCTCCTATCCAGCTCTTTTCATTTACAGTTTCACCTGGACCTGGTGATTTTGAACATGAATGATAAAGTCAAGTCACAGTGTCCCTAGCATAAGAAACTGTCTTGCCAATATGTTAGTCTGACTCAACTGTGGTCTCTGGAGAAAAGGTGTGTCTCTGTATATAAAAGTGTCCAAATACCCAACGGCAGTCGCAAATGACTATGTGAAACGTCTTCAACTATAGTAATCTGACTGAAAATTGTGAGGTTTGCTGCCAAAGAGGAAAAATTACAATCCTGCATTCAGGCAACTTGTTCCAGCAAAGTCATCTCTCATATAACTTTTTAGCTGGATGTGCTTCTTTTTTGTTTTGGAAAACAATGATAGTGGCTATTATTTGTATCATTTTATTAGCAATGCCTTGAACACCTGGTAACTCTGATTTGTTTGACAGTTGACATGGCATGTTTACATCGCAGAAAAAATTGGCATATTGGCTGGCAGATAATAATGCAGCTGTAGCTGGGTTTGGGATATTGAATTTCACTGGCATTGCTCCTTGTGAAAGGAGAAATAACTCTTTTTTCTTGCTTCATCACTTATGATTACAGGGCCCCGCCAGTTCAGGCAATAGAGTCAATGCTGTGTATATTTTACTATTCTTCCTGCAAGATAGATCCCTGTCCTGCTGGATCTATAGCCACTGTTTAAAGGGGTGGGGCTGCTATATCCCAGAAATGTATGAAGGGAGAGGAATGAGAATGTTCATAACTAGAAGAAAAGATTGTCCAGATCCTGACTTCTTTCTCTGAATTGATTCAGAGGCCCGTCAGCTGACTTAGGGGAAGCAAGCTCTGTCCTGGAATAATGAATGGCTTTTCTTGTCTCCATTGCAGCAGTGAGTGAAGGACCAACCACCCAGCAGCCACCCATGTTGCCCCCAGCACAGCCTGAGCATCCCAGCAGTGAGGAGGCACCAAGCAGAACCATCCCCACGGCCTGTGTTCGACCAACTCACCCACTCCGCAGCTTTGCTAACCCTTTGCTACCTCCACCAATGAGTGCAATAGAACCGAAAGTCCCTTACACACCACTGTTGTCTCAGCCAGGTAAAATGCTCATTTGTTCATATTTAAGTAGTTGTTATCCTTGGTGCCTCTACTTAAGTGCATGAGGGTTCCTGAGAAGGCCGGGTGCAATATATCTGTTCACCACTGATTGCACGCCCAATGTGCTCCTGTCTGTTACTGATGTTTATGGAACAGCTCTTAAGTACCTGCCTTGGCAAGCAACTGGATGGTTGTAGGTGCCCTTCATTCCTTTGAAAAGTTGTTCATTGATCCTGAACCCTGCTGGACAATTTTCTGGTTCATTAGTCTGCCACGTGGATCCTAGAATTTAAGGCTAGACTCCAAGACTAGAGGTAAAGGTACAAAGGTCTGAAAAGCCACTTTTTTTTTTTTTAATTTTTTTTTTCAACGTTTATTTATTTTTGGGACAGAGAGAGACAGAGCATGAACGGGAGAGGGGCAGAGAGAGAGGGAGACACAGAATCGGAAACAGGCTCCAGGCTCCGAGCCATCAGCCCAGAGCCCAACGCGGGGCTCGAACTCACGGACCGCGAGATCGTGACCTGGCTGAAGTCGGACGCCTAACCGACTGCGCCACCCAGGCGCCCCTGAAAAGCCACTTTTTTAGAGATAGGCATGTAATCCCATTATTCTGCTTTGTGCCTTTCAGCAGTCATCTTCCGGAAGCTCTTAGGTCACTGTTCCAGGGCCGGAAAGGAGTATCAGAACCAGGGTAGAGTCCAACTTCTTAATTTTACGAATAAAAAAACCCAAAAACTTAGATAGCAAGTGGCATCTCTGCGGTGCCTATGATATTGTGCTTTATGAGAAATACATATGTGGTCATTCAGATGACCAAAATATATTTCTCATATATATTAGGTCTTCCTCCACAGTTTCTGGGCACTCTGGAGCTCATAGCTCCCCAAACCCTTAGAATTTCCTTAGTGATAAGGGGGTAAAGGTGTCTTTTATTATGTTGATGAACATGACTTTTTTGGGGTGAACATGACTTTTGGATACCCCCCCCCAAGGGTGGGGGCTGGTTGCCAGGAGGACCAACCACATAATTACAGGGTTGGAACTTCAGTCCCACTCCCAACCTCCTAGGAAGAGAGAGGGGCTGAGGTGGAATCTACCAATGACCAATGACTTAGTCAATCATGACTGTGTAATGAAACCTGAATAAAAAACCTAAGAGGGCAAGGTTTAGAGAGCTTCTGTGTTAGTTTACAGGTGGAGATTTGGGGAGAATGATGTGACTGGAGCGGGCATAGAACTTCCATGCCCTTTCTCCATTCTTCGCTCTATGTATCTCTTCATCTGGCTTTATCATATCCTTTAATACACTGGCAAAGTGTTTGCCTGAATTCTGTGAGCCACTCCAGAAAATTAATCACACCTAAAGAGGAGGTCGTTGGAACCACCTGTAGCCTGTAGCTCAGAAGCACAGATAGCAGCCTGGAGCTTGTGACTGGCATCTGAAGTCAGGAGTGGGAGGCAGTCCTGTCTGGTTGAATTCTTAACCTGTGAAATCTGATACTGTTTCTGGATAGATCACGTCAGAACTGAATTGAATTCTTAGATACTCTACTGGTGCCTAAGAATTGGTTAGTGTTGGTGGGGGACCCCCCCCACACACACACACACCCAACACTGGAATTAGGGGACACCAACCTTAAAGAATGCCTTTCTAATAAAATCAATCGGCATAGATGATAACCAGAGTCCCCAATTCCCAATGCAGTATTCAGTTTATCACTTCATCTGACATCCAGTGGTGCTAATCCAGAGCTCCTTTTTGTTTCTGTTAGGGATTAAGGGGGATAAGGGATGGCAGAGAGGGAAAAAAGAAGAGGAAGGAGGAAGAGGAAGGAGGAAAAGGAGGAGAAGGAGAAGAAAGAAGATCAACAGATAGGATGAAAGATAGGCCAATAAATAGATAAGTAGATACATAAAGATAAAGAACTATGTAGTGCTTAAAAGTATTTGAACTATTGGAATAATTCTTAACAGGCCCAATATATCAAGCATAAGAGAATAAAGTTCAATGGTTCCAAGTAATTAGAGGTGGCCCCCTTAATAGATACAGTTGGATTGGTCAACCTGCTATTTGGCAAGTATGTTTAAGTTTCTGTTACTCAGATCCATACCTACAGTAGTTGTAGTCACTACATTAGTTTATAAGCCTCAAGATGACTGCAAAACTAGAAAAAATACTATTGTGACTATGACTGTTACCTTAGTATTAAGAACATATTGTGTTCCTGGTACCATATAAATTGATTTGTGTTCATGCCCTCTGGTGTTCTTCCTTCCCTGTGATATGTGGTGTGGATGCTCAGCTACCAGACCCTGGGAGGTGGGTTGGAGCACAGGAAGGATTCCATCCCTTGGGATGTATGGATGAGGTCTTCTCTGACACATAGGCTCAATGGAGGTCATGACTTCATTTCACAGGAAACAGATCTTCAAATCCAAAAGAAGCCCACACTAGGATTTAAAGCAGATCTGTATTGCCCAATCCCCTCTCCCATCCCCCACATCTATGCACTCCATGCACATTATGGGGAGAGTCTGCTACTTTATAGTGCCCTGAAACTACGAGGTCTTAGCTAATTGAGACAAGGACAAGTATAAAGGAAGCGAATTCATTTAATGAAATTCCTGCATCAAGAGCACACTGACTGGTGATTTCTGATTGCACTGTTCCCCACTGCAATACCAACCAAGAGAATAGACCTTGGAATGACTGGTATTCAGGATAGATAGCAGGTAAACTGCAACTATTAACAATAACTAACTCTTTAGTGAACATGTGCTATATGGCTGCCATGCTTCTGAAGACTTGTAACAGTACATTTGATCCTCAGAAAAACTTTGTGAGGTAGCTACTTTCTTAACCCCATTTCATGGATACAGAAATTGTGACACAGATAATTTAAGTAGCATAGTTAAGTGTGCACAACTACTGAGTGATGAATCTTCTCCCATTCGTTTTTTGTTTTGTTTTGTTTTTGTTTTTGTTTTTCTGACTACAGAAAGCATGAGTTCTGAAATTTTAGGAACTCATTTGTACGTCTTAGCTTGTGTCTAACTTAATGACAACAGCAAAGGTAAATTTTTTAAAAAAACTTATTAGATCAGGGGCGCCTGGGTGGCTCAGTGGGTTAAGCGTCCGACTTCAGCTCAGGTCATGATTTTGAGGTCTGTGGTTCAGGCCCGGGTGGCTCTGTGACAGCTCAGATGGAACTATTTCAATTCTGTGTCTCTGCTCTCTGCCCCTTCATGCTCCTGTCTCTCTCTCGACTCAAATAAATAAACGTTAAAAAAAAAAAAAAAAAATGGAAGCCCATGGTGGCGCTGAGTTAAACGTCCGGCGTCAGCCAGGTCCGCGATCTACATGATCGATGGACTTTGAGCCCAGCGTCAGGCTCTGGGCTAGATGGCTCCAGGCGCCTGGATATTTCGATTCTGTAATCACCCTCTCTCTCTCTGCCCCTCCCCCATTCATGCTCTGTCTCTCTCTCTGTCCCAAAAGTAAATAAACGTTGAAAAAACAAAAAAAAACAAAAAAAAACTTATTACATCAAATCAGGCCAAAACTGCTAAACAGAAAAAAAAAAAAAAAAAAAATCTGAGTTGAGGAATACCAATTCCTCACAAGCCTTCTTCACTCACATTTTAATGAGGAAACATAAGAGGTTTAACTGTTTTATGCAAAAGAACACCGGTTTTATAACACAAAAAACTAATGTGCCAAAGCACTTTATACTGTTAACTATTCTCTCTAGTTGGAAGTAAAGATCAATTAAGTAAAGATTCACATTGAAAAGAAGGCGAAAATAAAATTCTGAAGTCTATTTCACATGAAAATTTACTGTGGCAGAAATATTTGTCTTGGAATACAATGTTTGGAAATCAACCCATGCTCCAGAGATATGGTAACAAAGAACCCTAATTTTAGAAAGAACATCTGACAACAGACAGAATAAAGCAATGGCATTGTTACTTACTCTTTATTGTTTTCTTCCAGTTACAATATTACCCAAGCGACCTTAAACAAAGTCTGACACAATGTAGGATAAATAAGTGTATTGTGTCTTTAAAAGATGGGAAATAGAGTCCTTTCTGCTTTCTCTACACCTTTTCTCTCAAATAATAAGCATATCTGAAGAACGATTCTCTGATCTAATGCCATGCGGGCAAGAACTCGTTTTCTTTTATTTCCATTGTACACTTAAGAGCCTTCTTTTTTCTTAAACCATCGTTCTTGTTTTTATTTAAATGATTTCTTAAAAACCATCTCTTCTTTCATATTTTCCGATATCTTGGAGTTTTTGGTTGATTGTATATTTTCATGGTTCTCCTTTAAATGTCACCCTCCCCGCCCCCTCACCTTGAGGCATATCCTGCCATCACTTTGGAATTATTAAATGCCTTTCCTTTTCATGTTTCTCCTTCATTGTCTCCCTGTGATTCCTGTTCATTTCATAATGTCTTACCTCATGATTTTCAAATAAGTTCTTCCTGCATTGCTCCTGACACATGGTAAATAGTATGCTTTTAAGAAAGGGCTGATGTTTACTTATTCTAATAGAAAAAGAAAATTAGCAGACTGACAAATGTATTAGCTGTGACATTAACTACATGCTTCTTAGCCTAAAAGATGAAATACTTAGAGCTTTCAACAAATTTTAATTCTAAGAAAATCATTACTTTAGTCAAACTGATTGATGAAGTAAAGTCATTCTCTTGTCGGCTTAAAAAAAAAAAATACCTGAAATAATTTTACTCTGGATTTCACAATAAAGGACTGCGTAATTTCTAATGAATTTATCTTTACTCACTGCGAGTAATTATTTCAGAATATGGTAATGTGAGGCATTGCCATAATTTTTAAAGATCACACCAAATGAGAAGCTCCTTCTGCTTTGAAACCATTGAAATTAGGATCAAGGAAGAAACTCATTCCCTACTCATATTCCTGTGTGCGTTTTCTAAAGGGCAGCATGATTGATCTGTGCCTCAGTTTGACT